TGGAAAGGGGGAACCACGGCTCCTGCCAGTGGATAAAGCTGTCTGACAAGGAAAGGACCTGAGGTACATATGGGTAGTTTGGCACGTGATCGAGTAACATCACATTTTATTTCGCCTGGGGAATGTAACAGATGGCTATCAAAAAGATTACACATGATTTGAGTGTGTCAGCATAAGGGAGAGGAGTGGAAAAAAACCTGTAATTGAGCTAAGGGATGAGATAATAGGTAAGGTAGTTGAGAGGGAAAGATGGGAAACATTAGGCAATGGCAAATAAACAGGTTCAGCTATGCAGAAATTATAGGGGTGTAGGTTAAACGGTGAGTATAACAGCTAAAAGGTAGAGAGAGAGAAAAATAATTATTAATGCTACAGAACATTGGCTCTGGCTTAGCACAGTGGAGATCGGGACTATTGCCATTCAAGTCGGTGGGGTTACATTCACATCACCGGAGTGTGAGAGATGTCTGTGGTGAGGGAATGTGGGAGCGTTATAAGACGTAGATTTATCTCTGCACTGGTGTAGGTGCACAGACGTGGCAGTTTGGGCATCACCTATACCAGGCCTCTAGGGGCTGGTGCACGCTAGGCCAATCAGGAGGGCCTGAAGATGTACCCCCTGTTTCAGTGACCCCTATGGGGCTTTGCAGGAGTGCAGATGCAAGTATGTGCTGGCCACAACACCTCCATCCTGCATAGGGCCCCCCTCCTTTCTGCCCTGGCCCATCCCAGACTGCTCTCTGCACTCCAGGACAGAGGCTGCTCAACACAATCTGCCATCCTAGGCAAAACTTCAGTGTGCCACCCCATGGGTAAAGCTATAGAAACGCGAGCTTTGTGGTAGAGTAGGTGGAGCTCTATGATACAGTGGCCAAAGCTCTATGGTCCTAAGGGTGCGGCTGTATGGCCCAGTGGGCGGGGCTGCAGTGTGCAAGGAGTGGCACTCTATGCAGAGTGGGTGGGGCTGTGTAGTACGGTGGGCGGAGCTCTCTGCAAGGAGTGGGGCGTTGGCGGCACATAGGTTGAAGGGCGTGTGTGTGCTGGTAATAGGGATAGCTCCAGAGTTGGGCGTGGGAGGAGAAGGCCAAGCTAGTGAGACAGAAGTCAATTAAACTAGGAAGATGGTGAAAGCTAGCTAATCTGCGTCACCAGATGGGATTTGGAGACCATTGTTGTTAGATAAAGGAGAAGACAAGGAAACAAACAGGTCAAAATTCGGTTCTTAGAAACATGCCTACTGCTCCCAAATGCCTCAGCCACCTTAAAAGTCAACGGGAGCCGTTTCCATGCAGACTTTGATCAGCTGTATATACACACAACAAGACACTGAAATGCTTCTCTATCTATTCCTCATTCCTCTATATTAGGTAGGAATAGAACCGCCTGAAATTTTTTGTTTGAAACCTTATTTTTTGGACCAAAATGGCTTTTTTTGTTATTAACATGGAGATTTCTGCAAGAAAGATCCAATTTTGATGAAGTTTTTCAGGGTTTTCACCGAAAAAACAAGAAACACTAAAACTGAAAAAATGTTCAGATTTTCAACAAGCTGGAATAGTTGTGAGGAAAGTTAGGCGAAAATGAAAACTTTTTTTGGTTTTCACTTAAATTCTCTGTGGACACCCCCCCCACTCCCCCACACACATTTCCTGACAACGTCTACATGAGATCAAGTTCACAAAGGCCTGACTTTTAATAGCCCTCCTTAATTACCCCAGATGACCTTACAAACCTGATCTTTCTCTGCTCCCTCTGCCAATCAGTCCTTTCACAAATCTTCACAGCATTGGGGTGAAAACTGTCATTATGAATTAACTTGGAACCCTGAGGGACGATGGTGGCTATTGTTACAACATGGGGTTCTTCTCATTAAAGGCCTGATCCCAATGCTATTGAAGTTGATGGGAGTCTTAGGGTATGTCTACACTATGGAGACTGTAGCTATGCTGTCATAACCCCATAGAGTTGACGCAGAATATGATGGAAGGGGTTTTTCCCATCTACAAAGAAATACTCAAATGATGGTAGCTATGTCAATGGAATGGAAGCATTCTTACGTCAACATAGCTGCCTCTATCCTGGGTGTTAGGTCAGCATACCTACATCAGTCAGGCATGTGGATTTTTCACACCCTGCCCAACACAGCTTTGTTGACCTAACTTTTAAGTGTAGACCGGGCCTTAGATCAGGACCCAAATGACTTTTTAATTCCTGACAGCTCTTTTAAAACAGGGCAATTTCTTTTTTTCCCCCCCTTACTGTAAGTAAGTTGCTGCTTACTCTGGCCTTGATAAGCAGCAACAAGATAAGTTACAACAGGTGTGTAGAAGAGAAGGCCTTCAGATATTTAAAGCAATAAAATGCAAGGTTGTAAAGCAAAAATCATTTCACATGAACATTTAAAGTAACAGTGCATTCATTAAAGTCCTAAGAAATCAAGTAATCTTCCAAAATGCATAACTTCTTTGATGGAATTGTTTTTTCAAACTCTTGAGAGCGTTATTGTGCTGGGTGTATAACCTGCATGGGCCTGCCACTTGTGTAATCATTTCCTTAATTTAAATGACATTTACTGCATTCATATTTGTTCCTGCATTTGCAGAACACTGACTTCATTGTTTTATACTGAATCAACCGTCTAATGTTGACACCAGTGTAAAAACAATTTTAAAAAGAACAAACTGATTGCACACATTAGTCCATAAAAGTCACTGAAGCATACGGGATATAAAGGTTTCCAATTTTAAAAAAATAAATCAAAACAAGGCCAGGATGTGTTCAGTTATTTTTAACCTATGAGGCCCAGGGGCATCTCTCTTGCTAGATCTGCTAATGAGGACAGGAACACGGAGAGAATTAGTGGTTTAAATTTCTTTCACAAGAAGGTTTTGGTCAAAACTGGACACATTATTTTCTTATCTGGGGAACTTTTCATAACATAAAGCCAAACATAAATTCAATTAGTACTAATGAGTGCTTCTGGCATAGCAGTTCCTGAGACCACATAATTGGGGTTCAACTGAACAGAGGCAAAAGGTTATATTTTTAAAGTACCATAAAGAAATCACTTTAGGAAAAAATCTTTGTCTGGGATTCAGTTCTTCAGGACAGATGAGTAAATAATTAGTTATTTATATCCAGACTCGTGCTTTCTTGTCTACTTAATTTCGGGTCCTCTCCTGTTCCCATTAAAGTTGATGGCAGTTTTGCTATTGACTAGCTGGGAACAGAATCATGCTTGTAGACTAAAGTATTTGAAGATGAGACCAGATATTCCTTTATATAGTTACATCATGCACCAAATGCCCAATGGACACGCGAGTCAGAGTCATACACACGTTTCAAAGGGCAGTCCTTGGTGTCTTCTTAGCACTAGGATCTGATGTGAATGAAGGCTCAGCTCCTCGAAAGGGATTTAGGTGCCAAACTCCCATTAAAATCAATGGGTGTTAGGCGCCTAAGTACATTTGAGGAGCTGGGCCAAAGGAAATGGCAAAACTCACCCTGACTTCAGCAGAGGTAGGATTTCAAGCCATAACAAATCAGATGCATAAGAAGCAGTTATATTTGTCTCGCTCTATTACGGTGATAGAGAAGGTAGTTAAGATACATTAACCCTCTTCCACCAATGTCGCCCTCTGACTAGTCAGAGCTCTCTCCAGACTGAATAAGCTCTACACACAGAAATAATCAACAGAAACTGCAGCCATGTTAAGTGCATGAGTCACCATGGCCATTCCCTGCTAACTCCCCTCTCAGAGGTTTGTTCACCTCACAGATAGGGAGCATCTCCATCGGCCTCGCTCTTGACAAAGGTTGCAAAATCGCCCCAAGCCAAGTTACATTCATTCTGGCACATCACGTGCCATTTCTACAGCATCATCGTCACTATTAACCAGCTGTATGAAAGTAGCACCGAGAAGCCTCACCCAACTTGTGGCGACATGGTGGAAGGCAACATCCAGCCGGATCGTAACCCATTGATTTTTCAAAGCTGAGCTGAACACTTAGGGCCAACGAGCGGTACTCCAAAGAAGCCCATTGCGCCAAGTCCAGGGATCGTAAAGAGCTGCAGTGACATCCAGGGAAATCTCCTGTGTAGGAGCTGCATAGGTCTTCTCTCAGACCCTGCCATGGGGAGCTGCTTGAGGGGCAGGAGAGAGTGGATCATAGGTGGGAGGGGAAGTGGCCAAAGTGCCCATCACTATGACAGTTTAGGGGCTGCTCCAATTTACCTCAGTGGCCATTCTGGCCCCCCAAGTAACCCGGAATACAGGGAGCACTAAGGTAATATTAAGCCACTTTTTCTTCCCACTCCTCTGCATTGTGTGCGCCTCTCAGGACATGCAGCACGGAATCTAGCCTTTGCCTTCTATAGTCCTCTATGCCCTTAAGTCCGCCTCGCCACCCGTTATCATTGTGAGGTCATGTTTTTATGAATTCCACACAGCCACCCTTCTCACAACACACTTCTGCTGTCATACCTACACAACACTGCCAGCTGACAACATCTAGGCAAGCAGGAAGCTACATTGTGTGCCCAGCCAATCCATATGAAAACATGCTTGTGTTACTGCTACCTCATCCTCCCTCGCTGTCTGTTTCATCCTGCTGTTGCATCTTACTCTTAACCTAGATAGCAAGTTCTTCAGAGCAGGGCTTTCTTTTTATTGTGTTTGTACAGCTCCCTGCACAATGGGACCTTAATCCCTCAGAGGGGCTGTCACGCTGCCTGGAATGGCTCACAGCTAACAGTGCCTAACTCAGGTCAGACTGTCATATACCAGGGGTACTGATATATTCTAACAGATTTCACCAAGCCAGTAACAAAAGTGGATCACTATAGTAGTTTAATCATGGAGCCACAGACTGTCCCCTTTAGGCTCTCCAGACCCTACTTTACCACCCAGACAAACTGGACTTATGGTAAAAGCAAAGTTATTAAAGCCAAAATTCATCACACAGTAGGTTCTTCCAGCCCCAAAAGACCTGTCACTTACCCCAGGTCACAGTATACTTCAGATCTCACCAAAAGACAACGCTGTAGCCAATTCCTTAGTAACTAACTAAAGATTTATCAACTAAGGAAAATAAATGAGAGTTATTGCAAGGTTAAAGCCAATAAAATACATTACAGTTGGATCAGAGTATGTAGTCCAAATGCTAGCAGAGATGTAGCAATCTGCCAGGCTCTGAGAGTCTTTTCATAAGTTTCTCAGGGTTTTCCCAAAGTGGATCTGGGGAATTCTGTCTTGTATCTGGAAAGCCCCCTGACAGTATCTGCAAAGATCAAGAGATGTCAGGATCGTTCCCAAGGTCCAGTATTTATAGCTGAAAACAGCCTGCCCGGTGTTATTTTTAGCTCAGTATGTGTCCGTAGATTTCCCTTTGTTGAGCACACAACTCTCCCACCCCCACTCTGAAGTCAGTGTTCCTCCTTGCTGAGCAACTTTAGGCAAATGGGTATAGATACACGGGAACAATGTGATAGCCAAGAACATTAGCTTGCATGCAGTTTAAAATATCAAATTAATTCACAACTAAACACTAACATACAGGATTATTTCAGGGTTCATTAAGAATATAGCCAGCAATCACAGGTAAACTTAGTGCAAATGCAATTACCAGGGCATGTGCCATGTGAACGCAGTGTGACAACATCTTCCGTTGTTCTGTTCTAACGAGTGGACACAATAACATTGGTAATCAACAGGGTCATAGACAAGAGAACTGCCTATTGCTTTTAATCTGAGCGGGGTTGCCTGCGTCACAAAGGACTCTAAGTGCCCTGGAGTTGATTTCCTAATGAGGTTTTATTCCCCTTCAAATATATACTCCTTGCTATTTGTAGAAGGGAAAGTTATCTGTGTGGTGTAAGCAACTGGTAACAGGGAAGCCCAGGTTGCTTCTTCAAGTCTGATGCAAGCCAAGCATCCCAAAGATGTCACCATTGGATGGCCTATGGCGTTTGTCCATATCACAAATAGCACAGTAAGCGCCATTTGGGTCCTCTGTTGACAGAATCAGTTGAGAAGCCCAAGATGGAAGGGCAAGGACTGTCACCTGAGGTAGCAGTGTCATCTAGTGGGTAGAGCATGGAAGTGGAACTCAGGAGACCCGGGTTCTACTCCTGGCTCTAACACTGGCCTGCTGTGTGACCTTGGGCAAGTCACTTGGGCCCAGATCCTCAGAGATTTAGGCATCTAGCTCCCATTGAAATCAGCTAAATACCTTTGAAGTTCTGGGTCTTTGCCGCGGTGTGCCTCAGTTTCCCTCTCTGTGTTGTCTAGCATTGATTCCCATCTGCATGGATTTGGGTCTTCTTTTGTCTTGAAGCAGTTCCTTGGCAATTCCACAGCTAATCAAATCCTTTTGTAGGACATCTATCCATCTAGTTTTGGGTCTTCCAACCCTTTTCTTACCCTCCACTTCTATTCCTATGTATTTCTATACTGTCTTTCGATCTTCTTTTAACATGCCAAACCATCTAAGCCTGTATTCCCTCAGCTTCTCTATAATTGGTACCACCTTCACACTTCCCCTAATGAGTTCGTTCTGAACATGATCCATCCTTTGTACTCCAAGGATACATCTTAACATTTTCTCTTCCCAGGGGTGGCTCTAGGTTTTTTGCTGCCCCAAGCAAAAAAATTTTGGCTGCCCCCCCACCCCACTGCACCCTCCTGCCACCCCAGCCCTGGGTCACT